CCTGTGCCGGGTTCCGGTACAGGGAGATGACTCTCGCTAATCCTCCGACGCAAGCGTCGGAGTTGACTTCGCTTCCAGTCATGAGCTGGAAGCGCTTCGCGCGTGACTTGCACGATGGACGCATTGAGCAAATATGCATTCTCTCGGGATCCGAAAGAACGAAGAGCGAGAATGAAGAACTGAGGCAGTTCTTCATGGAGACCACCACTGAGAGTGAGGACACTCTCAGTGCGAAGACGAAGAAGGAGCGCTTTGAAGAGCAGGGCTGGGACTCGTTCAAGACGAGTCCCTACTACGAGGTCTTACGGGAGTACGCAGACGTACTTCCAGAAGAGATCCCTGCGGAGCTTCCGCAGGACAAGGGAATCCAACACGAGATTGATCTCGTGCCGGGCACGAAGTACTGTGTCACGCGGCAGTGGCCACTGCCGCGAGAGCAGGTCAAAGCGATCGACGACTTCTTTGAGAGTCGTCGCGAAGCTGGACAAGTGCTCCGACGTTCTGTGTCAAGAAGCCACAGGGCGGTTGGCGCATTGTTCATGCGTACAACAAGCTGAACGATGCGACGATACCGGCGCAGACACCGATACCGCGAAAAGATGTCATCATCGATTCGATGGCCAGGAGCACTATCTTCGGTGCTCTTGATCTGCGCGATGAGTTCTATCAGATCCTCATGCGTGAGAGCGATATCCCTCTCACGGCTGTGAGCACGCCGGGCGGCATGCTCTGGGAGTGGCTAGTGATGCCGCAGGGTCTGAAGAACGCACTTGCGACCTTCAACAGGTGCGTGACGCACTTGTTGCGCTCGGTGCGCGACTTCGCATCGAGCTACTTCGACGATGTGTTCGTCCACAGCCGGGCTGCGGACGGGATGAGCGATGTTGAGATGCACAAGGTGCATCTCCGGAAGCTGCTTGCGCTTATGCGCAAGCACAAGCTCTATGCGAACCTAAAGAAGTGTATCTTCGGGGCGAGCGAGATACCCGTGCTCGGGTGTCTCGTTGGGAAGAATGGTGTCCGCCCTGACCCTGAGAAGGTCAGAGTGATCAATGAGTGGCCGACGCCGTCGAACGTCAAGGAACTGCGGCAGTTCCTTGGCTTGGCCACGTACTTGTGCAAGTACGTGAAGGACTACGCGGGCATGATACACCCGCTGTCACAGCTCCTGAAGAAGGACGCCGAGTGGATTTGGACTGCTGAGTGTCAGCAGGCCTTCGATGTCGTCAAGCAGGGCTTGACTGAGGCGCCGATCTTGGCGGTGGCCGACCAAGATCGCCCGTTCCACGTTGTGTGCGACGCATCCGACTTCGAAATCGGATGTGCGTTGATGCAGCACGATCACGAGGACCGTGATCGTGTCGTCTACTACCAATCGCGTCAGCTGAAACCAGCTGAGCGCAACTACCCGGTGCATGACAAGGAACTCCTTGCCATGAAGTACGCACTCGCGAAGTTCCGAGTGTATCTACTCCGAAGCAAACCGTTCGTGGTCGCTGCGGACGGCTGTGAAGTTGCCGCGCATCTCGCAACGAATGGCGAGATGGCTTTCATTCTTCGCGGAGTATAACTTCCGGGTTGAGTACAAACCCGGAAGACTCAATGTGGCGGCCGACGCGCTCTCGCGTCGACCTGACTACGCCACGACTGATGCCGACGTCAATGCCATTGACGCAATGCGATCGAGCACCCCAACGTCGTCACTGTTAGACGACGTGAAGGTCGCGTACGCGCACGACGCGGACGCGAAGCTCTTGCTGGCCTACGGCTCAGCGCCTTCTGACAAAGCTCGTCAGAAGTTGCCGAAGCATCATCGTGCTCGTGCACACCGTTATCGGGTGCACGACTATTACTCTACAGTGCAGTCGACGACAACGCGAACCGCGTTGTCGTGCCCAATGACCATGACCTGCGACTCAGGATCATGTACGAGTATCACGATGCACCGATGGCGGGGCATCCGGGCCATGAGAAGACATACCTTCTTCTCACGCGAGACTTCTACTGGGCCCACCAGTACAAATGGGCGCGCAAGCACGTCCGTGCTTGCGAGGTTTGTCAACGTGTGAAGCCTGCGCCTTTCGCGCAGGCTCCCTTGCAGTCACTGCCGACTCCATCGGAGTGTTGCCAGTCCATGCCTTTAGACTTCGTGTTCGGTCTTCCCCCGGACAACCAGGGGAACACGGGCGTTGTGGTCTTGTTGACCGCTTCAGCAAGATGGTACATCTTGCTGCGGTACCCGCTGAAGTGACTGCGAAACAGACGGCGCATCTGTTCGTTGACATGGTGTTCAAACACCATGGCATGCCGATCGACATTGTGTCGGATCGAGACCCGCGCTTCACTGCACACCTTTGGCAAGAAGTGTTTACACTTCTTGGGAGTCAACTTTCGATGCCGACCGCGGACCATCCGCAGACGGACGGGCAGACCGAGCGCGTGAACCGCGTGCTCGTAGACGTGCTTAAGAGCTACGCTCACTCGTTCCAACACTGGAGCGAGTGCCTGCCGATGGCGGAGTTAGCCATCAACAACTCGGTGCATGCCTCGACCGGGCATACGCCGTTCTACGTGAATGCCATCAGGCACCCACGCCTCCCGAGTCTACTCGGGATGGTGGCTCCTTCCTTAAGTGGGGGAGGATCTACGACTGCAACGCAGCAGCCGCAGAATGCCGCTGCACTTGCACAGTGTCAGCCGCGACTACGCGCAAGAAGAACTAGCAGCACGCGTCTGTGCAGGGCACAGACGCCGGCAAGAGCAAGAAGAAGAAGAAGAACATGTCTGTGCAGGGCACAGACACCGCGAAGACGAACGCAGAGGCCGGGCCTACTGCTAGAAACGAGCTGAACTCGTTCGGCTCGGACGCAATCAACTTGGTGCAACGCAGACAAGCCGTCATTCGGTTTGTTCAAGACGCTATTGCAGCTTCTGTCGACTGACAGAAGCTGAACGCAGACAATGTTGGTAGGGGCAACACTAATGAATTCAAGAAGGGTTCATTGGTTTTGTTAGCAACTCAAAACCTGCTTAAACATGCAGTTTCCGACTTCGGGGCGAGCAAGCTCGCTCCGCGCTTTATCGGGCCGTTCACAGTGTTGGCACGACATGGCAACGCCTACACGCTAGATATTCCATCTAGCATGCGCCTCCATCCGACCTTTTACGTCGGGCGGCTGAAGCCATACCGGCAGCACGAGCCACCTAGCTCGGCTGACCCGAAGCGGAAGCCCCAGCGGAAGCGAACCTCTGCTCCAGCGCGTGAACGCGTTGGGACAAGCGCACGACGCGACATCCCACGTCGATAGAGATGTCCGACGCGCTCTGCGAGGCCTGATCAACTTGAGCTCTCAGGGTCGCCATCTCCTGCTTCAGAGCGGCGAACTCACGGCTCTGAAGCTGCTCCACAGCAGCGACTCGCTCCTCGAGCGTCGGGCCAAGGCCAACCCCAGGTTGATCATACCCCGGGCGTGTTCCCACCACCGCCGCCTCCGATCCGCGACGCCGCCGGCTCAACACGCTGGATTGTTGAGCGTATTGTGGACCATAGTATCCCGATAACGAACCGGCAACCGGTTCGTTATCGTATTCGTTGGAGAGGGTTTCCGCCACACCAAGATACGTGGGAGCCGCGGGACGTCTTGCTGCAGGACGTTCCGGAAATGGTGAGGGCGTACGAAGCTCACCACGCACTGCCGACGCGAAGGTAGTGCGAGCGCTGTGGTCACCTACAGCGCCCGAAGTCCCACGATCGTCGCGTTCCTCGCGTGCCAAGAACTTGGCACGGAGATCCTTGATACTCGCAGGTACACGAATCGTCGTGTACCCGTTTAGGTCGCGGTCGCTCAAGCGCACCGCACCCGGAAGACACAACGTAGTCTGATGGCCTTCGGGCACAGCGCATGGAATACCAGCGTCCACAGAAGATCTGTGGAGCTGCTCCAGCCGCCCGCGCGTCGAGAATGTCTCGAAGCGTTCACGGGCATGCTTAACCCGCTCATGGTAAGCAGCCGGCTTCTTGTTGAAGTTCTCAACAAAAGCATTCCAACTTAGTAATCGCGCCTTTGATTCGTTAACGGATCAAAGTGCTGCTCCTCCGCAACAGCATCGTCGTGGATACCGCTGCATACGTACAGCGGAATTTCGTTTGGAGGCACAGTGTTGCCCACGCGGTCTGCGATCTCTGACGCAGACGGCATCCACGGATCGCGCGCTGCCGGAGCAGCGCGCGGAGAGCTTGAAGTTGCCACCTCACGCGGGGAGCTTAAAGCCCCAGCAGCAGAGAGCGGAGTGTCGCTGTCGCCGCGCGAACGCTTCGAGCTCGAAGCGTCCGGGTCGTCTCTTTCACGAGGGCGTCTAGACCCGGCATGCGGGTCGAGACTATCGCTGTCGATAGACTCCTTGCGCTTGCTAGAAGAGGCCTCGCCCTCTTCCATCTCCACGTCGTCGTCCTCGAAGTCAACGGCATCGTTGACTACAGAAGAACCTTCGAGGACAATCTCTGGCTGAGTTGTCCCCGCCGCAGCCTTGGCAGCAAGAGCGTCACGCTTTGCTTTGTGACGCTCGCGGTACTCGGGGATAGAGAGTCTCTATCCCGGCGGAGAACTTCACCTCTGCTGCAGCGTCGGTCTTCTTCTGAGGCGAGCTCATTGCGGAATGAGCTCGAGTTTTCTTTCTCCCAACGTGAAGAATTAACGAATGGTCAATTTCCTGATTGACGTGCCGTGACTCGGCGCGTCTAACCTTGAGGGGGGGATGGTGTAACAGGGTTACACGCGAGAGGTCCAATCTTCAACTGAGCTTCTCCTCACTCACCGCTCGCCGGCCGCCCGCCTCCGTCCAATCAGCTGCTTCTGCGACCGTTCGGGTCGCCACCCCGTGCTCGTGGCGGCCCTCCAGCACACAATCTTCGTCTTGGCCGTCTCCCAGCCGTCCGTGGCAATCTCCCGGTCCTTGTAGCCCATGGGTCTCGTCGTGAGCCGACCCGAGCCTCGCACTCGTCACATGCCTTCTCCACCGTCAGAGTCTTCCACGAATCTGCCCGTGTCGAACAAGCGGTGGTACTCTGTGAGCGACACCCATCGTGTGGCGTCGTCCTCGGCGTCCTCGTGGACATCGTGTTCATCGTGGGTACTGCGTGCGAGTCGTAGCTTATACTCCAGTACGTAGTGTCCCGCCTTGTTTCGTCGTCGTCGTCTAGCGACTTCCACCAGCTGCTCACCGTCGTCTCTCCAAGCCTTCTCACTCGTAGCTGCTGGCCGACGTCTTCTCTTGCCTGCTGCTCCAGTAATCGGACGTGCTGTCACCGTCGTTGCTCCAGCAGCCGTTCCTGCTTCCGCGTCATCACCTTCGCGTTCGACCTCGCCTTCATAGTTCAGCTGCGCTTCGATGTCTGCTGCCGCCTTCTGCAACTCGTCGGTAGGCTCGTTGTAGGTCGTCAGAAAGGAAACATGAGCTATAAATTCACGTAGCTCTCCGTTCTTATCCTCTCGCCTCACCAAATAGTTGTCGCAGCCAGCTCCACTCACGATACGTATCGGCCCCATCCATCTATGCACAAACTTTGTAGCTTTCCTTCCAAGTCCTGTGGAATCCCTCAACCAAACCTATCATCTGCGGTCGGTAAGGTACAGGGTGAGTCTGCTCAGCTTGAAGTAGTAGTACGAGCTGCTCGATAACCCGCCCTGTCAGCTCAGGTGCTCCATCAGTCAGTAACTCACAAAATACACCAAACTTGAGCACAACTTCTTTCATGAGAAACTCTGCAACGTGTTCTGCTGTGTGTTGTTCTGTAGCTACAGTCACCACATATCGAGTAACATACTCCACTGCGCCAATAACGTAGCGTTCACCACCTCCTGCTCGTGGGAATGGACCTGCCACATCCAAGGCCCACCGATCACACACATCACCTCCTCGTAGACTTCGTAGCAGGGCCTCCGAATATGGCATTTTTATTTAGTAGGTTGGGCGTTGCTGAATAAATTATCCCCTGACGCTCCTACCAATACAACAGTACATTATGGCATTGCCCCCAACGTACCACAATAAATAATGCCATTATGAAAAGCATGAAGTCTATTAACAAGACACCAGTTAGCTTATCATCTAGCTCAAATTGTCCACAGTCGTTGCATCCCAGTACGACCGATTCTGGCGGAGAAACAAATCGTCTCAAGCGTGCGTGGCAGCAGGCCGTGTCGTTGATGACCAAACGTCACCCGAGCAATGCTGAAGAAGCGTTCCACCACGTTCGACGTGGGTGGGATGCTCTTCAGCTGCTCATACTTGACACGGTCCTGTGCAAGCCGCCGGCGCTTCCGAAGACGCTCCACGAACGACGCGGCTGGATCCTCCTCCTCTTCACTCGCGGCCGCGTCGTCCGGTCTGGCAGCTTCGAAGGGCTGCAAAGCGGCCTTTTCAGCACGCGTCAGCCGCTGCGCCTTCCCGCGGAGAACGCGTACACACCCAGCCTCAAAATCTGGGTTGTGCACAATGTTGGCCCGAGGCCCTGCAAAATAAAAACCATTATAGAATTGTTAGTAAAAATATTAAACACAAATTCAACAGTTACAAACTTACCAATGTAGCGCGCATATTGTGGCTTGACAGCGATCAGCTCGTCGAACCACTCGCGAACGTCCAGCAGGTCGGCGTCGTGGCCTTGAAGGGCCTTCGAGACCGACTCGATGTCGCACAGCTCCTGGTACAATGCCCGCAGTCGCTTGTTCATCGCCGGCGGCGGCAGCAGGTCCATGAGGTCGTCGTCTTCGGCGTCAAGAAACTCGAAGAGCTGGAGGTAGCGCCGTACCATCTCGAACGTAGAGCTCCAGCGCGTGTCCTGGCGAATGACAGGCCGAAGTGGCGTTTTCAACCTATTTTGTAAAAAAATTACAAAAGTACACAAATTGTGTTAGAGACATATTGACACACCACACATACACATTGGCGCTTTATGTAGTTTGGCAGATTGGGTGAGAGTACGCAATTTTACCATGAGCGCCTGCACAGCAGCCAGCTCCTCCTCATGCGACGCCATGTCCGCCTGAACAGCAAGGTTCAGGCGGTGGCTTGCGCAACCAACAAGCGGCACACTCATAAGAGTTGCCAGCCGCCGGTTTACGGCGCAGTTGTCAGCTACGAGGAAGCGACACTGCGCCAGCTGTACGCCGTAATCGCGCGGCAGCATGGTCGCTAGAAACTCGAGATGGCCCTGCGCGGAGAGATCGTCGTCAAGCGCGTCCAGCAGCGGGGCTATGCTGAGAAGCGTTGTCTTGGGACAGCCGTTCACCTCATAGCACGCGAACACGGCGACGTAGTGCTTAGATGCGTGTGTCCAGCCGTCGAGCATGATGCCGAAGCGTGCTGGGAGCTCCGACGCAATCGAACGCTCGACGGAGACGACGACCCCGTCCATGCCAGCCCGCAGCGTTTCCTCCGAGATGGGGTCCAGGCTGGAGTAGCTGAATAACATCCATAAAGTAAAGTTGTTAGTTTCCGTAGTAATGTAAACACAATGACCTTATGCATACACGTACCGCCGAGCTTCTCGGCTCTCACAAAAAGAGAGTGGCAGGTTGCACATGACAATCCAAACCATCCAGCCGTGGAGGTTAAGCGCCGAGTGGCGGACGAAGTTCACGAGGGAGCCTGTCTCCGCCGTCGTAGCGTCGAGCATGACAGTCTCGTAGTCAGGGTGCTCCCGCCTGATATGTTGCATCACGTTGGAGTACCCGTTCCTATGGGTTTGCTTCCGAACCGTGCCGCAACGGCAACGGAAATACTCGAGAATCACCTCGTCGTTCTCGTCGCGACACGGGCGGAAGTAAAACCCCGAGACTTGGGAGTTCGCGTAGGTAGGGCGAGGGGGGCGTTTAGCGCGAACCATGCTGGATGAGGTCTTGGAGGCTTGAGAAGTGAAAATTGAAAAGTGAGCGCTGCCAAATGAGCTGCAACTAGCAACGCAGACAACCAGTGATTACAGTTCTTCTGAACGACTGGAAGCGAGAAGATGGCTGGTAAAGCGCTAACATTATTATATAAAGGTAAGTGTCATACATTATGTAATATCACAAAGCACATCAATAAATTATCACGGTAGATGGCTGAACCGCTGAAATGCGTAATTTATTGTTATTTTCTGAAATAATGTTATTGACAATGCTATTTTCGGAGGCCCTGCTTCGTAGCGGTGGGATAACCTCCCGTGGGCGATCCTTGCGGCTGCCACAGTCTTGACACCCTCGCACCCACCTCTTCACTTCTTGCAGTAGGTCAGGACACCTGTACACACGTGCAATCCGCTCATACGTGTGCGGTGCTCTCAGGTGTCCTGCCCAAACCGAATCATGACTTTCCTTGAATGCAATCGGCCACAGTTCCGGAGGTAAGATGATTCGTTTCCCCTTCTTCGTGTCGATGAGCACTAATCCGTATTGTTGTGTCACCTTCATGCCTCGATGTGCTCCGTCCGTCATCATATTCTGCACAAGTCGACTGCGTGCTTGCGCTGCTGCAATGGCTTCGTTGGTGAGCTGCAGAGTCATTGCCGGTGACTCCTGGTACGTTGGGAGTCGGCGCTGCTCCACCGTCGCCTTCTGCGCATTCGTCGTTCCTCGCAGCATCTCCGTCGGCTTCGGCTGCACGTTCGTCACGGTCGGGTCTCCGTTCTTCGTTGGCTGGCTACTGCCGGCGGCATTCGTCTTCGCCGCCGCTGCCATCGTGCGCCTCTGCGTCGTTGTCGGACTCGGCTTTGTGGGCGACCGCGTCGTGGTCACACTCGTCGTCTCCCGCACTTCAGTCGTCTGCACACCGCCGTCGTCATCCCGTCGCGCAAGTGTGGGCAACTTGTCGTCGAGTCCTCCGTTGTGGTACGTCTTCTGCTGCCACTGCGTACTGCTCATGCACGGGTCCAACGGCTTCAGCATCATGTTCGTGTCCTACCGATCGTGTTCTCCGCTCTCCATGATCATCGTCACGACGGCTCCGTCGTCGCGCTCGTCCTCCACTGCTGCTCGGCTCCGGTTCCGTCGTGGCTCGCGTTGCCATCGTGCTGTATGGTGGTGCAGGTGTCGCCTCCGTCGGCACCATGTCGCTCGTTGCGTCGTCGTCGTGCGTTGCTCGGCGTTACGATTCTTTGGCTCTTTGTCTCGCTGCTCGTGTCAGCGGCCTCGAAACTTCGTCTGGCGTCGGTGCGTCGACTCTGCTGTGCAGTACTTCGTCCACCACGGCATCAGGACCTCCGCTCGGCTGCTGCTCGTCTTCCATCGTGCTCACAACTGCCGTCACCTCGGCTGCCGGCATCTCGACCGCCGTCGTCGTGATCGTCGCAACTACTGCTGGTTAAAGATCCGCCGCATGTTGCCGGCGTCGTCGTCTCCACCTGCCCGTCGAAGTTAGGATCACTGCTGGGGCTCGGGGCTCGAGATAGAGCATCAGCAACTACGTTAGTGTTCCCCGGATGGTATTGAATGCCAAAGTCCATTTCTTGCAACAACAGCGCCCATCTGTGTAGTTTTCCCGTCAAGTTTAGCGAGATCATCAGCCACTTAAGTGCGGCATGGTCAGTAACGATCGTAAACCTGCGCCCGTACAGGTAATGTCCAAAGAGTTTTACCGCCCAAACCACTGCGAAACACTCTAACCCCGAGATTCAATACTTCGACTCCGTTTCACTCAGCACCTTACTAGCGTAGTCAATCGGTTGGTAGCCATCTCTGCGATCCTGCATCAAACAAGCTCCGAGCCCCACCACACTTGCATCGGTAACTAGTCGAAAGGACAACCGGAAATCAGGATACAACAGCAAAGGCTTCGTAGTTAAAATCGACTTAATTTCATCAAACGGGCGCTCCTGTGCTTCTTTCAACACAAATTCAGCATCTTTTCGTAGCATCTTAGTCAGCGGTGCCATCAAAGTGCCGAAGTTCTTCACGAATCGTCGATAATAACCAGCGAGATGCACAAATCTCTTGATCTCTTTTGCATTCACAGGGTCGGAAAGTCACGTACAGCATTCACCAATCGATCTAGAGGTCTCACTCCGTCTGCAGATAGTTCATGCCCCAGGTACTCCATGTTACTCATCGCAAAGTGACACTTCTTCAGTTTTAGCGTCGGACCAGCGTCCTTCAGATGTTACAACACACATGCCACCTGCAATAGATGCTGCTCAATCCCTCCTCTCGTGTAGATGACGATGTCGTCGAGATAGACTAGGCAGGTAACCCACGTTAACCCTTGTAAAACACTATTCATGAGTCGTTGAAAAGTCGATGGTGCATTTGTCAAACCAAATGACATGCGAACAAACTGATACAGACCACCTTTCGTCGTAAAAGCAGTTTTCTCCTTGTCCTTGGGTGCGACTCGAATTTGCCAATAGCCAGCTCTGAGGTCGAGCGTCGTGAACAGCACCGCACCCCCAAGGGCATCCAGAGTTTCATGGCAGCGGGTATACATCTTTGCGTGTGATGCCGTTTAAAGCGCAATAATCTAAAAACGCACGTCCCCGTCCTTCTTCCTTACCAGTACTACAGGAAAAACCCCATGCTCCACTGCCCTCTTCAATGTCGGCGCCGTTTGAGCATCATAGGTGCAGCGTCACCCCTATCAATGTGATGTTCAACTTGCACCTTGGTCGCTGGCGGACACGCACCCGTGTTCACCATCAACCCTCGGATAACTCGCAACAGACGTATCATCAGCTGTCTGCCCTCCTCGTCCTCGACACCAATCTGGACATCGTCTTCGTCATCAAGCGGCGTGTCGGCATCACCAAGTTCGTCAAGCCAACAACGTAGTTTAGCGTGATCAAGTTCTCCAATAAATTCTAATACAGCTACGTCTTCATCCAGCGGCACCCAAGTTCAAAAATCTTCTTCGAAGGCAACTTGACTCGTCCATCACTACCATTCACCGCCGGGATCCACGCTTTACTATTCTGCACTTCAGTCACCGTAGCGACCAACATCACTGACCCTAACGTCGTAGTCGGAACAAACCCTCCCTTCTCGCCGTCTTTCGCCACGACCACCACCTCAACTGGCGTCACCGAGCGGCGCGTCAGGTGCGTCTTCCTCGCCACTCGAACTGCTGCAATGCGTCCACTCGTTGGGCCTTCAAACGTTCTGAACGGTATCACGGTTGACAGCTCGTTCTCCCTGTGTCGCAGCTCGTTCTCCTTGAAGTCCATGCCCGCCTCGTGGCTTCGCATGAAGTCCACGCCGATCAGGAACTCGTCGTCGCAGCCCTTGACGATGCACGGGTCCACCGTCACGGTCTCTCCGAACACGTTTGTCATTATGAACCTCCAAATGCCCACCACGTCCAGAAGCAGGCCACCAATGCCCCCCAGGGCGCCGTGCACGAGGCTCGGTCGCCATACGCCATCCAGTTCGTCCTCGCCCCGCCGACCAGCTTCACCGTTCGCTGCACGTCGGACACTTACATCGTCGCCGTGGGAAGGCCATCGTCCGCCTCCACGTACGTCACATCATCGTCATTGCTCGTCAACACCTCCGTTCGTCGACTTGCTCGCTGCACCACACTGGTTCTCGTGTTTCTGCAGGTTCGTCAGCGCTTCGACCGTCGGTCCGTCGTTGCCGTCGGACTTCGAGTTCGCGCAGAGCTTCGTCAACATCAGTTCGTCGTCGTCGATCCAGTTCGTCAGTGGCACGTAACGTGCCGCACGTTGCTGCTGCTCCTATTCTCGTACTGCAGCTTGCTTTCGTGCTTTGGCGCGCTTGGCGCCATCTCGCTTGCGAGCCTGGCGTCGGGCGAGTCGCACGGCAGCGACGCTGGTTTCCGTCACGTCGTCGCTCGTCGTCTTCGCCGTTCGCGCCGTTCGCGCCGTTCGCGCCGTTCGCGTCTTCTCCAGTGGTCGACACTTCCGTCGTTGCCGCGCCCTCTCCAGCCGAAGCCACCGGTTCCACGCGTCGGGTACGTTCGTCTTCGTCTCGTTCTTGTTGCTCTCGATCATCACTCACATACTTCTCCGCTGCACGTGTAGGTCGGACAGTCGCCACGTATCGCGCTGCACGATCGCTGTCACGGGCTGCTGTGTCCTTCCTCAGCTCCTCCAATACCTCGTTCATCATCGTAGTGGCGTCAGCCATCACCGCCACCACGCTCGTAGCCACCACTAGTTCCACTCGTAGCCCCTCGTGTCCCATCAACACCGTCTTCGTTCTTGACTCCGCACTCGTGTTCTCCGTCTCGGTGCTGCCACGCGCCACCTGCTCTCGTCGCTCACCACCTCGTCGTCCTTGGACTGTCCGTCCTGGGGAGTCTGCTGTCTGCGAACGCCGTATCCCAGCTACTGAGTTCGCTGCTCGTTTCCCGCGGTCGCTGGCTTCGCGCTCCGTTTCTGCTGCAGGTAGACTTCATTCCTCGCTCTGGCTTCCGTCTGGGTACTCCTTCGCGGCGTGTTCAGTCTTCTTGCACGCGTAGCACACTTGCTCGTTCGTGCACTCGCTCACTACATGGCCGCACCGCCAGCATCGCGGCGAAGCTGCATCCAGCCGAAAGTTCCCTCGTGGCTGATAGTTTCTGGCCGACTGCTGGTCAGTCGCCGTCGCCACCTTCCTAACTGGCGCCTTCAGCTCCTTCTTCCGCGGCTCGACAATAGGTTCGTCGTCGCTGGAATCATGCGTTCTCTTCAACCTCGGTTTCTTAACTGCTTTCTTTTCGTCTGTTCGGCTTTCAGGTGGTGGCACAGGTTTCTTACGCGGCGCCTTCTTCTTTTCCGCCCAATACTTCCCATTCCACTCACGTCCAGGTGGCCTCGTCCACGTCCCCGAGAGATTGCTCCAGACCCCCTGTGGATTCGTGAACAGTGCAAGCGCACTCGGATCTCGTTCGGCTTCGGCAACCGGCTGCGGATGCATCATTTCCACGGGCAAGTTCATCGCTCTTACCCCAGGAATCACCGTTGTCTGACCCGCATTACTCGTCATCGGTATCAGCCTGCCAGCTATAACACAGGGATTTCAGAGGCACTGGGGCAAAATATTAGCTGATCGCAGCTATTTTGAAGAAGAAGAAGCGCAGCCAGATGAAGCCGCACAACGCCGTCGGCTTGACTCAATCCATCGCACACTGTCGGCTGAAGCACGAGAAACTTTGGATGCTGAGTTGAATACCGGTGAATCTGCAGAGGCGATACGAAGCATGCGATCTCACTCAGCGCGAGGTCCGGATGGATTTACACCTGCCTTTTATCAAATTGATTCCGATTTATTTGGTGAAACTTTGCTGATCGTTTTTTGTTACCAACTAGAGCGGGGTGAACTTCGTCCCCACCAACGATATTCTTCCGTCGCCTTACTCCTCAAGAAAGGAGACCGTGCAGACCCCGGGAACTTTAGACCGATTACACTAATACCGGTGGAAGTCAAAGCCTTGTCTCGGGTGTTGACAGATCGGCTGAAGCCATTCATGCCTACCCTTGTTCACCCTGATCAAAAAGGTTTTATACCTGGGCGATCGATTTACCACCAAGTAATGCTAGTTCTTGACCTCCGGCACTTGGTGAGCTGTCGCAGCGGCAAAGGTGTGGCAGCCTTCCTTGACTTTGCTAAAGCATACGACAGAGCGAATCAGGAGTATCTGTTCAAAGTCATGGAGCGTCAAGGCTTTTGGTGGATATTTTTTTATCGTGGATTCGTTTACTTTACAAGGGACTCGATGTGCTCGTTGATGATAAATGGGTGGGCACAAGATTCTCTAAAGCCAACTCGAGGAGTCAAACAAGGCGACCCCTTATCGCCGTTTTTGTTTGCTTTATCGTTAGCGCTCCTGGGTAATTTGCTTCGGGAACATCAAGAATTAGGTATCGCTGCTGACCTTCACTTTCGATCCCTGTGGCATGTTTCGCTGATGATACTGTATTATTCTCTAGATGTCGCTCGCCGTCAAGAGCAGCTCCAGATTGTAGAGTGTTATTGTACTGGATCCGGAGCCAAATTGAACCAATCGAAAAGTGTGATCATTAGCTTGAACAACCGTCATTCTTCTCCAATACTGGGACCTCTTCGGTAGTTGCGCAAAGGTGATACCGTCAAGTACTTCGGCATACCATTTGGAAATGCAGATACGTCATCCATGCTAGCAGCGCAGCTTGAACATAAGCTAATGGCTCGACTGCAGTAGTAGAAAGGCAGAGCGCGAACCCTAATGGATCGGCGTTTAGTTGTTCAAGCTATTATTTTATCTTTGGTGTGGTACTTTACAACTACAACTGATTTCCCAGTTCGATTCATCAAGCGGTGGCAGAGTGTAGTCATGCGCTACATACTTCACAATCGCGTTGGCGTCGGATCGGGAATTAATATCGTTCGCAAGAAGTTCCCTTCAAACGCAGGAAAAAGATGGCATTGGTGTGCCTGAAATTGCAGTTTTCATTCAGCGCTAGCACTCTATGTTGCTTCAGCAAGTTGTCCAAGCACTAGAAACTCGTGATAGCGACCCAGAGGTTGTGTGGTACCGACCTATTGCAGAGCTATTGAGACTTCGTTATGATCTGTACTCACGGCCATGGTCTGGAGATTTTCTGCTTCAAGATCCTCCACGTCCACCAGGATGGCGAGCAGCGATGCTACCAATATATGGTGGCGTAAGGTGCTTCGCGACTGGAATAAACTGACGTGGCCCCGTCAATCCCAAGTTCGCATCACTAGAACCAAGGGGCTACAATATGCACTATTTAGTTCAATATATTGGAGTAAAATGTCCGATTTTCAAGTGGGGACTGAATCTCAGCGAGTGCCTGTTGGGACTGGTTCTATCAAGTTTAGACGATTGTGTCGCGAGCTCTCAGCCAGGCACGTGTGGTGTCTTGCTGATGTTTTGGATGATTCTCGTCGATGGCCTTCGGCTTTCGATTTCATTAGCAAGGTATCACAACTTCTCGAGCATCAGCATAAAACGCAAATTGAGCTTGAATACATACTGCTGCTGTATCGCCAACTAACACAAGTTTTTTAAACACGTCCTGCCGCGGCCAGAGGATGGTGGAATGAGTGTTGCCACACGTGAAACCATTCCCCCGACGTATGGTATCCCACTCGGAAATGGTACCAGATATTTCCCCCACCTTTGCAAGCAAGATTTGAAAATCTTGCAGCAAGCTGATGACGAAGTGGGCACCCATCCAATGACTTTGCTGGGATGTCCAACGCCCTCAATCCACTCGACGCCGTCGGAGTGGAAGTGGCTTCGAAGATGCGTCATTCCTGTTATACACGACGTGATGCTAATACTTTTTCCTTGGTGATCTTATCGTCGGGTCACGACTTTATTTTTTGAAGTCGCTGAATCCCACCGTGCAGCAGTGTATTCGAAGATCATGCGTTGCAATTGAAACAGTTGAGTATTGCTTCTTTTCGTGCCCAGCACTGGATGAGGTGTGGCAGACAATGTGGCAGCCTTGGAGTCAAGCGTTTATTGCAAAATTAGATTGGCGGCTACTGCTGTTTCCCAAGCCGCGGGGTCTCAGAGCAGATTGGAGACGGCATCAGAAGGAAGTGCTGCTGCTTTGGAGGGTGCATACTTCCATAGCTTTTCATGGTATATGGAGACTTCGTAATGATATCTACTTTCGTGAGCCGGACGCTAACAAGCCAAGCACACAAAGCGTGGAGGCGACATTTGGCCGATATTGCCAATTTATTTTTCGGCATTCAACAGAGTCATACGGTGAAGAACAGAGTCTTATATCTCCATTTTAAGAAGTGCCACGTTCGCTTCGCTCACAGCCAATTGGTCTCGTGCTTGGTCTAAACATCGCGGCACGTATGATCTATGTTCTCTAGGCACTTTAGCATAAACGCTAAACGCATGGAGAAGTTATCACAAGCCGTTGTTTTTTCGCACCAGTGTCTGCCCATTTTGAGCTTAATATAGTGCATATTGTAACTGCTGATTGGATGTGTGAATACATAGTAAAACTACATAAAACATCATACATTCGCCTATTGGTAGGTCATATGTGACGATGTGGCTCCAATCATATACTGACCAAAATTGTTTACCCACTTCATCCAATATTGTTTTTAATTACATCCAAGCAACCACTTTTTTTCTTAAGCCTAAACCCCGTTTCTCACTACCATGTCCAAACCTATCCCCCTACTTAAACATCATTCTACAACCTCATGTCCACCAAACAACTACTTTAATCCTCTACACACCTATGATTTGTGCACCCCACAACATTTTCCTATCAAGCAAGCAATCAATTTTCCTATCAACCAATCCCAGCTAAACCCTCTAGCCCCGTATTCTGTATCCTGCAGAATAAGTATTGTTGCAGGACATAATATCCAGCAAACTTGGCTTCCCATTCAAACTTCGCATATGACTTTTTGTATTGCCTCTATTGCGCACATCTTCCTGTTAGATTGCTGGTGGGAAGATAGACTGGGATTCGTCTGCGGTAATAGAAGGACGATTATAAACGCCCAACAGGTTTGAAAATTCGGGTGGAGCCTCAAAGTGTCGCGTGTCAACCGCTCGTGGTTTCCTTCATTCTTGAACGGAAGTTTGCAGATCAAGTCGTCGCGATACGAGCTATATGCAGTCCTGTCGAACGTGCCCAAGCTGACAAGGATGACCAAGGACTTGTGCACCATGGTGCTCATGATGCGAAGACGATTGGTTGAGCCCCAACGCGTTGTGGAGGTTAGCGAGAGCGTGTACTTGGTATTGTAACAATGATCTAGAAGTACACTTATATGACGTTGTGGTGTTGTGTACCAGGCCTGGTGATCCGACTAATATCTCGGTATGTGCTCTCGTCTGTGGCCCGACCGGCAAGCAAGTTGATCTAGCGATATGGACGATTGCGGCGCCAGCGCACAACTTCGGTAGTGGGTCGCTCCTGAAGCCTCAATCCCTCAAATCTGGTCCAGCTCTGCAGGAAAAAACAGCCGTACAAGGCCCTTTTTTTTGGGGGGGGGCACCTCGACCCAAATGACTATATTTGTCCGAGGTTCATCGACGTGCGAGCTTGAAGTGTATTTGGTACGGACCGCCTCAGAACAGGAGGTACATTGAGCTAAAGATATATTGTTGCTGCCGCTGCGCTAGAAGATGCTTTATTCTACAATTTTCGCTCTAGCTCTTAACTACGATGCAGCAACTACTCGAGCCTTCTCTCACCCAGCTTAGCCAAGCAGCTGATGTATAACCACAGCGCCAGCAGCGGGCAAGAGGTGCTGGTTTCTCGGATGCCGAAACGGCCAATCTGTTAGACTTGCTTTGAGATGCATCTACCTCTGTCACGTGATGAATGGGATTACGTTGCATCTCTCCATAACGCTGCTTACGTGGGCGACGATAGGACCACCGACTCGCTCAAGCGGAAGTTCGCCAAACTGCACCGCAAGCGCATCCCGACGGACGACCTGAGCATTCCTGCGAACGTCTTGCAGGCGAAGCGCGTTCGCCTGGAGATGACTCGTCGAGCAGATTTGGGCGACGGGGAAGATGCTGCGACAGAGGCAGCAATAGATTTAGTAGCCACAACCCCTACTCCACCGGTCAAGGCCAACCGTCAACTCCCCCACCACGGCTGACGGCAACGATAACAACGCCATCACCAGTGCCAACACCGTCGACAGGAAGCATGACAGCGTCAATACCTACGCAACTAGATGTGGCTCGACCGATTGACCACAGGCGTGGGCAAAGTGCACGCAGTGACGATGACGCGGACGCTCGTTTCAAGGCGATGATGCGACTTTCACTTGAACAAGAGCGGTAGCGCGTACGTTGGGAGGAATGCCACGAAGAACGCGCTCACCGAGAAGAAGGACGAGCGCGACGTGAGGAAGACCGAGAAGCGGAGCGTCGTCAGCGTCAAGAAGATCGAGAAGAGGACCGCCGACGCCACCAAGAACTACTGAGTCTCCTGCTTATCGGAAGGGTTCACTATACTAGATAATGAACCGGATACATTCACACCATAGGCGGCTTTGCCGCAATAAAGGGAAATATATTCAGTTTGAGATTCACACAGTTAAGAGTTAAGGGTTGACTCTTGAAGTCCGTAAGGTGTACGGACTCGTACGTTCTGGAATTAAAACGGGCTATCTTAAGCTGAGACTCTGTGAGTCTGTTACGTCTTCCTCTGACGCTAAAGCTACGGCAGCCCCGCAGCAATGAAAGTTTCTTGACAAACGGTGCATGCCGCGCCACCGCCTGCCCCAACAGCTTCAGCGGGTCCGATTGAATTGGCCCTAAATCATGTATTTGCGGCGTCGCTGAATGCACATTCTGAGCAAATTTCTCGGATTGCCCATTTTTAGTAAGCACGCCATCCAATTGCAATTTTTCCAAAAACGATTTAGGACATGTATTACATTGAAACGCGGACATGATGCCCAACGTTAAGGATGAGGTCGTAGGATATAAAGGAAAATATGGAGTTGGTACATGCAGAGTCGATCGATGTGATGGAAACGGTGAAGTGTGTAATTGGGGTGTATAAAGAAAGACTGATATGATTATAAGAGGGACATATTTGGGAGATGAAATTGGAAGTGGTGGTGAGAAATGTTGATCGATATCTAGGGCAAAGCTGGGGTGTGTAAATGAGGTGTGCAAGGTAGAATGAATATATGTGGTGGGCTGGTAGATACAAGGTGGGAAGAGAATAATAAAATGAGGAATGATGGTTTGAACAATATGAAGTAGATTGCAATGTGGGGAAAAGTAGGGTGATGGTTGGATTGAGTTGCGGTTGTTGCAAAAGTGTGACAACGATGTGTGTGATGAAGGATATATGTAGTGGGTTGATGGGGATGAAGTGGGAAGGTTAAAAATGTTGGCGGATGTTAATGAGAGTTACAATGAAAAGTGTATTGTTGGATGGAAATATGGAAGGTGGTAGTTGAAGAGTAAGCTTAAAGTGGTTGGCTTGTGGAGATGGGATGGGAGAAGGATAATTAGATTGGGGATGAGGTTGCAAAAGGTTTGTGAGAAGTGGGTTGTAGATTAGAGTGACGGCGTTGTATGTAGTTGATAAATAAGAGGTTGGTTAATATGTAAGTAGGTTGGGTGTGTGTAAATGACAGTGGTCGTGAATTGTAGAATGGACAGAAATAAAGTGTGGAAATAAGGTGTGCGAAGAGTGGTAAATATGGTTGGACATATAGGTTTTCGTATACGAGGAACCCGATGGTACCACTCTCTCTATTTATGACGACCCGGATGAACGTTCATCCTAGGACCTGTTAGGGTCTGTTTTTTTAAATGAGATACCACTACTGTAGTTTCTTTATCGTCTCCATCAAACTCGTACGGAAGCGATCCGCGTGAGCAGACGTAAATCTTGACGCCAATGAAAGCATCACAAACCGACGAAAAATGACTTCAACCTCGTCAAAGTAGTCACGCTTTCGTTTGGGGTCGTAAATCCAGATTGTACATGCTCTAAAATCTAAAATGACACCGCACCAATGCCTAGCGTCCACTTCGATGTGTACCGAGAAGTAAAAACAAAAACACTCGGCGACTCATACCTTTGCTAAGTATATTTTTTTTTTCTGTGTCGAGGGCTCGCTTTCGCTCATTTTCGTCCAAGGCACTCAACAGAACGGCATTGGCGGCAATGATTTCATTAACGCCTCCGTTACAGTGACCCCTGCTTTGCATCTCTTCTGTAACGTGATGTGCAGCGGCTACTACACATCCATCGGAGAGCCAGTGCTGCCCACCAAAATCAGTCGCATCTCCAAACTGAACAACCGCATTACCCAGGCGAGAGCTAAAGGTATAATCTATGTTCATCAGCCGTACTTTCGTTAAAATCGCAGTGCGATGGTCACATTCAAGTTGCCCCATGAACTAGTTTATTAGTCGTCTTTCGATTTTCTTCGAAAGGGAATGCCACTCCTTCATAGTGATCATGTCTCGCAGCAAAAAACGTTCTGAAACGAGTGTCTGGTCACCTGTTCGCCGGTGGGTTCGTACTGCTCTCAGTGGTACCGCTCCCATGTGCCAGACGGGCCAGAGAGCCCAAAATGGCAACGGAGCCAATATTGGGTACCAAGACATGAAAACCTGGACACATAGGGTTTTGTATAAATTCAGTGGCACCACTCTTATGTGTCAGAGACATGACATACACCCAAAATAGCAACGGAGCCAATATTACGTACCCAAATTCGCGTGTCTTACACTTACGCTTGCACTACGCACGCTAACTAGATCAACAGAAATGGATGTTGATCAAGCGCTCTTAACGGGCATTAATCAGACGTTATCTTCCTGTGTTTCCAATGACGAGATAGGGATTCGCGTGAAGGTCTGTGGTTTAGCAACCACAGACCCACTGACAGGAGCTCCTATTCCGTTGTGCCCCTCGAGAGCGCAACCATACGAACTACCCACCAAACGAAAGCGTTCGTGGAAAAAGCCAAAACCCCGTGGCACTGCTATGTGGAGCTTCCCAATTATATGGCCACTCCCGCAAATCAACTTGACAATGTCCGCTGAGCTCCCCAACTGTGTGGCCACTATAAGACGTATCGAAGCTTGGATGGACGAACACGTGCGACTAAGTCAAAGGTCGAGACGTCACTAGACCGAGGTAGTAGATGAGTGTTGCTTGAAGCCGAAGCTTGAGCGAAGAGAGGGGTTGCTTGGAAGGAAAATTGAGAAGTGAGATTGATTAAAGTGTGAACGCTGCTTCCTACTCGTGTGTTCTAGCTCAATCATTCTACTTTAGTGTCGCCTAGCCTAATCGTTTTACCTCCAGGCTCCATGTCAGCCCTCCTCCCTGTGGGACAACGCGTGAATTAGCTTCACTAGACCTTACTGGACTTGTTGGAACGAAGTCGCCACTATAATGACTTCGTACCGGGATGCCTTTCCTAACCTTAGTGTACGGTGATTGATTGGATAAAAGAAGTAGTTTTAGGATTGCAGTGTCCGCCGGGGGACGGCGCTCTCGACCTTCCCGAATTTTACTTGGATATAGCAAGCTTTTGGCTCCCTCAGACGAGAGGTCAAAAGACGTTTAAACAGCTTTAAGTAAGGGCATCCTCATCGGCGGGTCTTAAAGATGCAATACCTGCAAGTTTGGATAGTAAAGATCTTGTTTAATGTACATCCGTCAATCCCAGGCTGCGCACAGGTGCTGATGAAAAATTAAGTGCATGACTTACCTCCACAAATTGTGTTATACTCCGACGTTTAGTGTTTGTCTGCAATCTTGATGCGAATGAGCTTGAATCGTTTGTTTTAAATTCACCTGTACATATCGGACAAGGGAACAATTGCGGTTTGGTGTCGCGTGGGATGCTTAAAACTGTGCCTTCAAAACCTTCCACTGTGGCGCACATCTAGTGCTCAATTTACTGATTGGCGGCCCCGGATCTTAGCAGGTCACCCCGCTCGCGTTGGTACATGGCTTAGCCGCTTCTTTACTACGACTTGACACCAATCGTCTCATAGCGTCGCCGTCAAGCTGCCCCCCCCCTAAAAAACATTTTGCGAGATTTCTAGCTTTAGCCAAGCTTAGCTGGTACGAGGCTCCGTAAGCCTTCGAGGCGCTGTATGTAGTCCCCATCACGTCTAGAATACCGCCAAGTGAATACAGGAGCCCGTTGGCGTCTCATAATGTGGCCGACAAGCGGTCGATGGCCCCAAAAAACAAAATTTGCGAGATTTCTAGGTTTAGCCAAGCCTGGCATGTACTGTGACGGAGGCATACTGCCGTCAGAGCAAGTAAGATACAGCCAAAGGTGAGAGTCGACGTGCTGCTGCCAAGTGTCGCAGTCCCATATAATTATGAACCCATTGTATGCGGTTTGGGATGCTTCTCATTGTCGTCAAGATTTACGTCTGCTCGTGCGGATCGGTTCCGTACGAGTTTGATGGAGACGATAAAAAAGCTGGGGTAGTGGTATCTCCGCTGCGATTCCTCGCTCCAACGAGCTCGACGACAGCCCCACCACACAGCAGATGTCGTTGGTTCCCCCGAAATAGTGCTAATACGTAGTATTTCCACTACATTGGGGGTCAAAAGAAGTTTCATTAATGGGAGCTTATGGATGACCGTCAGCTCAGTCCGATAAGGGACGAGGAGAGCGGTACCCGCAAATGGTCATGCAATCAGCCACACTAATGCAACGTCGAATCGCCCCGCGGCCTGTTACCATGTTTGCCGCCAGAGTAGCAACCGACCCCTTGCAGAGTCTGGTGTAGGTCTTGAACGCATCGGAAACCCAACGGCCGTGAAACTGGATCGTGAGTGTATCCGTGCCAGCTCGGTACATGTGGGTTGCTACGCCCGCTCGTACAGAATGGGAGCTGAAACAGCGTGGGTCATCGCCAGTACTGGTAGCCGCCCGCGTGATAGCTTCTGACACATCATTCGTCGCAATGCAGGCCGGTTTTTCCGCAGCGGTCCAGGCGGTATATCAGCGGGTAGGTGTTTCCGGACTTGGAAAAGGATCAAGGCATCAAACACGGGGACAACACGGGGCACAAGAATGGGTGTCCCGAGCGCGACAACATCCTCGTTGTAGGAGAGCCGCCTTGGTTTGTCTTGGAGCCGATCAGGCGCATACACACCCACTGTGCCTTCGATGGGGACAGGGTTGGCTGGCCTTCCGCATCCAGAACCGCGATGTCTTGAGCTCGAACAGCAAACCACTTGAACGAACCGCCAGTAATTGCTACGATTTCCGATCGCCGAAGAAGGAAAAAGAACGCCAGGCACATGCCCGCCTCCAGAGGGCTTGCTCGAAGGGCTCAGTCATTGAAAGGTTGCGGAAGCACACCTCGAGGAGTCCGATTGACACTGGTGCTTTTCGGCGCGGAGGTGAATCGAGACGGCTGATGCCCTTGAGCAGCATACGAATGTGCGGGTGTGCGATCGGGAAGTCATGTCCGGATGCCGCGAAGAAGTGCCGAACACCGATGAGCACGGCCATGATCGAGTCGCTGCGAATGGGACCTCCGGACCCGAAGCCATACCGAAAGCCGTAGAGAATAAAATCCGAGATGTGCTGCACTTGAGCAGCGAGAGGCATGCCCAAAAGCGAGGGTGCAATGCCCTGGCGGGACGTCCAAATCGTCCACTTGGTCAAGGCTCGGCGGTATTGCTCGAACGTGGAGTCGGCAACGGAGTGCGCTCGGAGATACGCTGCCAGATATCGATCAGACCTTGAATATCCACAGTCGGCGAAACCGGCGACCATCCGGGAGTAAGTGACGAGAATTTGACCGCATACGATGGGTTAGCGGCAATGCGGGAGCCAGTGTCGGCGCGTTCGTTGTCAGAGCCGGCCACGTGCGACGCCGAAAACCGAAGCTGGAACGAAGTCTCCCACCAGTTAAGTAGCCGGATAATCACTTGAGCGCGTGATTTACAGGACGCGAGCTTGGTTTGCCATGCGACCGCAGAAGTGTTGTCGATGCGAAATTGAACGTGGCGTGGGCGATCGTTGCGCGAGGCACCGGAGCCCCACCGGCGTCCCCATGCGTGAACCGCGAAAGCGCACGAGAGCAGCTCCCGAAAGTTGATGTCGAAGCCGTTGGGCGTACCAGCCTTAAAAGCCGCAATCAAGGCACGTTCGCTGTCCGAGAACTGGTACGTGAGGGCCACTTGCGATGATACATCCAGCGCACAGAGACCATAATCGGACGCATCTATTTCGACTACAATGTCGGGTGCTGGGAGAGCATTGAAGTATTCCAGCGACACGCCGTTCAGGCGGGGAGTGTACCACCATATCAGGTCTTGTTGCATGTCCGGCGTAATCGGAACACGCTGAAACCGCTGGAGATAACTTTAGAGTCGGCGCAGACACTGGAGAAACGGCCGTGCAGGGAATGCGCTCCATGGCGCTACAGTCGCCAACCGACTGGAGGGAGACATGGAGGCCTATCCGACGGTTCCGACCATATATCTTGGCTCGGCAGCTGTGTTAGAACGTAGCTAGAGCGGCGCGACTGTGAGGTGGCGCCTCGAAGGCGATCTTGCTATCGCTAGCGGCCGGAATGCGCTCCATGGGCGATACAGTCGCCAACGGACAGGAGGGAAACATGGAGGCCTTTCCGATGGTTTCGACCATATGGCCTGGCTCGGTAGCTGTGTTAGAACGTAGCTAGAGCAGCGCGACTGTGAGTCGGCGCCTCGAAGCCGATCTTGCTATCGCTAGCGGCCGGAATGCGCTCTACGGCGCTACAGTAGGTAACCAAGAGGAGGGAGACATCCAAAAATCACCTTCCTCCACTTCGCCCGAATTGCACCCTGCCTCGTCTCGAGCTCAATCAATGTCCATAGGGTTCACACGTTTCTCGGCCAAGCCTCCCAGCACCACTTCAGTAGTTTTCAAGGCGAGACGCCCCTTTCCCGAACGTGCGCCCAGGATCGCCATCTTCAACACTACTTCGCCCGGGAATTCCCGGTCAGAGTCGCGATTACTAGACGAAACCGTTCGCAATTCACCGGGCTGAGCATCTCCGACGCGGCTGTCGTGCCTGCTAGCGCCGACTGCTTCTACGCGCACTCTGTCCGCATGCCAATCCTCATCGCCGGGATGATACCATCCTGGGCGGACATCTTCGTCCGAATCTGAACCGCAATCGCTAGACTCCTCGTAACGTGTCAGCACCCACTCCAATTCCCGAACGTAGTCAATTCTCTGATCTCGCAAGATGGACTTCAGCCAAGGATCGTTCAGCTTCCGGATGAACAGTCGGATGTGCCGCTTGTGACTGATCTTCAAAGAGTGTAGCTTGATGCCAGCTCTGAGCGCCGCCGCGTTAAATTGGTAGAGGCATTGACATGGCATCTCGCCCGAAGTCGTCTCGAGCGTGAAGTACCTGCCAAGGCGGGATTCGGAATCTCTGCAATATCGCTTCTTGAACTCTTTCGCGAGCCGCTTCCAGTCGCGCCGAATGTGCTTGGGAAGTTGACCATACCAGTGCCGCGGTGTTGGTGGCATCCTGACCGCAAACTCCCGGATCCGCATCTTCGACGTCCAACGATTCTGTGCGGCCGCGTGCACAAAGCGCTCCCACCAATCAATGCGGTCATCTAGAGAAGCCACTTCATCGAACATCTCAATCACGTCCAGGTCGACGTACAATCGCTCGTCCACTATGACACCAATGTGAGACTCGGCCAGATTCGTGTCACCATCAGCGACTCCGCCCGGACCTTCAAGTTCTGCAACGTCTCCGCTCAGACTGCGCAACACCGCTGATTCATCATACCCACCCGAGACCCCACTTGATCCTGCGTCTCGACCAGACACCTCGATATCTGGGCCACAAGGGGCTTCCGACGATGGTTTTACTGACGCTACAGCTTCGGGCAGAGGTCCCAGACTCGGCGACGAGGCCTCGGAACTTGGCTTGAACAAGGGAGTCGAGGGCGCCCCAGGCGTAGGCTCCAAGCGAGCAGGTACTCCGCCCGAACAACCTTCATACCCGTAGGTAGACAAGCTCATCGAGAAGAGGGACTCGTGGTCTACGCCTTGGCCACCACTTGAAATACCCTCAACGGATACATCGTCGGCGCTTGACAGGAGAGTTGCTTGGTAGCCCCCATGATGGGCTTGAGCGGCACTCGCCAAATTCAGTGAAGTTACATCCAGAATCATCGCGAGCCTTTGCGCCTGGTTGGGACTCGACTTCGACAGTGTTTTCGTGCCTTGTCGCAAGGCTGTCCCAGGCGGCGCCTCCCATGGTTACGCAGTCAGGCTTGGTTGCACATTCAGGGTTACTGACTGCACTCTGGACTTGAGTTGCCCAATCAGGGGAGAATGTTGAAAGATCATGTTGCACTTGGTCGGATGTCGCTCGAAGGTTGTGTGTCAGATCCTTCTGGAAATCTTCTGTGTTCCGATGGAGCTTACGATCGCACCCAGCTTTAATCTCGTACAGTCGTTGCTTGCACGCCGCTTGGAGTACGGTCAAGGTCTCCTTGACCTCAGCAACCCATGCAGCATATTCGGCTTCGCGTTGCTCTTCGACTTGTGCCTGGTGCTGCCTCAACTGCTCAGCCGCTAAGGCCACCACACGCTCGCGTTCAGCTCGGGCAACCTTTACATAGGTTTCTTTGATGATCGGCATCAGTTGGGATGCTTCGTCGTCGCTGCGGCAAGCATGATGTAAGTCACGCTCGACAGTTCCCAGCTCGGCCAGGCTGTCCGTGCCTTGTCGGAACTGAGCAGCCAGCCTTGACTCAACTCGGCCGACAGCGCCCGACCAAAACTCCGCCCAGACATCACTTAGCCTGCACGGGGTTACAGGTTGCGCCCGGGCGAGGAGTCGTTGGCTGTGTCGCTCTCCGTCTCCGAGCGTGCTCCTTCATGTCGCGTCGCGTCAGCATCCCTCAAGGGCGATGTCGCGTTCCACTCCGCGAACTCGGCCGTAGTCCGTCGCGCACGGTCGCAATCGCCCCTTCCCATGATAACGCAACCTGATTCGGTTGCCCGTTCAGGGTCCGTTCGTCCGGACTTACCGCGAATTGCCAAATCAGGGTCGGTTGTCGCACGGTCGGGTTGCACATCGGCCACAGTCGCACGGAGGTTGCGGATCTGCTCGTCCTGGAACATCTGCATGTTCTTGTACGTCGCACGCAAGTTCTCGAGCTCCTGCTTCATGACCGCTTGCACCGCTCGACTCTCTTCCAGGTCGCGCTGGGTACGCGCAGCCTGGGCGGCTCGCTCAGACTCGCGCTTTGCGTCGGCTTCAGTCTGCTGCTGCATCCACTGCACAGCGGCGGCCTCCACGCGCTCCCGCTCAGCTCTCGCGGCCTGAAGGCTGGCCGCCTGGATGACAACTACGGTCTCCGCGGTCGACATGACGGGGACATCCTGGACAGGAGCCCGGCAGCTTCCTGAGCGTGCTCCGCCGCCTCGCGGACCCGCTGTGCAGCTTCGGCGAAAGCACGCAGGACTTCAGCTTCCTGGTCAGCCTTCTCCTTTGCTGCCAAAGCCTCGCGAAGCTTCTCAATCCCGCTGTTTAGCATCTGTGCCTGATGCAGAGCGCCCACAGCAGCTTCAGCGACCCCGGACGAGATTGAAGACCCAGTCCGGCCGGACTTCCATGAGTTCCGTTAACAGCTCGACCGGCTTGCGCGACGCGATGAAGGCCACCTTTGCGAAGGCCGCTTGGACGAGCGTCGGTGACGACTGCGGCGACGGCTCCAGACACTGTCCGAGTCGGACTCGCTGGATGTCTTCCTGGACAAGTGGGTCCGGGCATCACTGCCGTTTCTCCGGCCGGGGCCGATGTCACCATTGGTATGTGCGATCCTGCGCTACGCGCAAATATTGACGACGAAGACGCCGATGAGCTGCTCCTTGATCCAAGCGACCCGGACATCGCGCCCCTGGCCGACTCATCTGAGGTTCCAACCAAACTCGGGACAGGGTCCGAAGTTGGCACCTCCGGCAAATCTGCCTGGGAGGACGTCGCACATGATGGCAGCTCAGACGGAAGCGAAGCAAGCAGGGTGTCTGGCCGAGAGGATTCCGCGCGGGTTGGCCGTCGCTGGTCGTGGGCTCTCCGGCCGAGGACCCGCTTGAACTCCTGGCAGAACGAATGCCGGCCACGCGCAGGCGCAGAACGTAGTTCCGGCCGAGCAGGTTGACCTCGTAAGCGTTCATCAATAAATCTCCGTCCTGATCCTCCGCATGATAGTCCAGAGCAGGTGTCTGCCCAGACTTTGCTTCGACTTCCAAGGCTGGAATTGCCTTGAACGACGCACCGATGTACAGCGTTCGCTACTCGATCAGCTCCACTGCCAGGAGACTTTGGATGTCTCCGGCCAGACTCCGAACGAGGTCTGGCGCGATCTTATACGCGTGCGTCTTGAACCACTCCGGGACCAAGTTGTCGAACTGGGAGCCGGCTTCGAAGAGCAGTGTCTGCAGGATCGGGACACACTCCCTCGGCGTGAAAGCGGCGACCGAGATCTCGGCCGCGACGGCATCTTGGGCGGTGGCCAGGTCGTGTCGGTCCAGGCGGAGCTCCAGCACGCACGGCTGAACATCGCCGCCCAGAGTCGCGCGGGCCGCCAGGTCCTTGGACGTGGCCAGCCGAGATTCCGGCCAGGTGTACTCCACATTCGGCGGGAGCACACGTTCAGACCGAACTTGCTCCCACCGATAAACTTGTGCCGCGACGTATTCCTTGGCCGCGTCTTGACCCAGCGGCCAATCCGCCAGCGACTTGGGCGGAGCGTCCTCTCGGGCGGGAACCGTCGACAGTTGAGATTCTGCCGGGGCCTTCTCCTCGGGTGGCGGCGGCGCATCCGCGTCCTGGCCAGACTTCTCTTCCGGGGCCGACGGCAGCGACTCCTCTCGGGCGGACGCGCGAGCATCCGGCTGTTGGCCCGGGCGGTGAGGAGTCCGAAACTCGACCCTCCGCCCGGCATCGGCGCCTCCCACAGACGCCTCATTGTGAAAATCCCTCTCGGGTCGTTTGTCTTCGAACCAAGGAGCTCAGAGTTGATGAGTTGTTGTACACGGTTGGGTTTCCAAGCGGGGTGCGATACGTACTTCCAAACGTAGCCCCTACGACTCTGGACGATAACCACAAATACAGAGTTATACACAAATACAAATATCCGTCACTTATTCTTTCGGACCCTCGGACGGTGGGTCACTACTCCAGTCAACTAACGAGTCGTATCCAGGGTACGGTTCAACCCTGGGCGACTTCAAACGCGCACCAGTCCCACAATGTACTGAGAGCAAATAACTGCTTTTCACTTGATTTCACTATACCGCGGTTGACGTCGGCATCCCGGCCGAGCCAAAATCCAGTGTAGAGTCGCGGGTACAAATCACCTCCTTCAACGTTCCATGGGATCCTTACCCATCTTCGGTCGGTCTGCCTGGTCGGTCGGAAACATCTTGAGTTGAGGATACCTTGATCGTATCTCCCAGACTTACACCCGGCCAGAGTCGCAATTTGAGTTAGCGACTCGGCCAGGGTCGCTGCTTGATCCGCATCCTGGGCGTGCCTTCGCCGGGTCCCGGATCCTCGTACTTGTCTCGCAATCCACGTCCTCGAGTGTAGCCATCTCGGATCAAGACTCCGGTCGGAATCACCATGCCGGGGTTACTTCGCCCAGGACAGTGTTGGTCCGTTCTGGGTCGCTTGGGGCTGCTGCTGTACTTGGGGGTCTTGGCTTCGGTCTGCGTCCTCCGCTGTGCCAGGACGGGTGGTGCTTGTACTACCCATCGTCAGGAAATGTCGACTACGTACGTACAGTACGCCCCGGAGTTACACGTCCAGGTCTGCCGAGTCCATTCACAGCCAAATGCTAACCTCGCCTCACCCCAAGCCACTCGCAGCTCCACCCGCACGAAACCACTCCGGTCAGACTTTCCCGCCCGGGGTTCACACCGATCGGGCAGAAGGTTGGTGGCTCCGGCCAGAAAACCTAGGCTGGAGTATGTAATATAATGGGAGGAAGGAAACGACGTTGGGTGAGAATATCATTGTGGTGAGAAGTGGGTTGTAGGATAGGGAAAAAGAAGGCGATGGTTGGATAGATAGGGGGTAAGATATGACAAGTGGTAGTGAGGTTGGAAAAAGGAGTGTAGAGATGGTAGAAGAAAGTGTGTTGTAGGATGAAGAGAAGAGGTTCGTGGTTACTTCGAGGTAGTTGATGTGAAATCAGGTATGAGGTGCGCGAATGGGGTGTGGGAAGTAGGTTTGCGATGTTTATATATATTACGACCCGGATGAACGTTCATCCCAGGGTCCTTTAGGGTCCTCGAGGCGCTTTATTTTAAGCGTTCACGACCCCAATATCATTCACCCAGGGTCCTTTGAAAAGGAAGAACACTTGAGCAGTAGTTGGCAAAATGCAAAGTGATTCGATCCAGGTCCTTAGTTCGCAACCGCGTGCTACCTCTAAGCCTGCTACTGGATACCTTATACTGGATACACCCTACTGGATTATCTACTGGATACACAGTTACCTTATCCAATCAGAGAACGCCACGTCGATGCCCATCTTGTACCCACAATCTTGCACCCACAATCCTGTACCCACAATCATGGCGTAATCACCGTGACGTAATCACCTGAATGATTGCGGTACCACACAGTGAAGGTCACGCCGACCTCACTGATGACGCGTTCGCGTCACACGGTCGCTTGGCGAGGCGTCGTCACATCAGTCTTGACAACACTTCGCGCCCCAATTTAGCTTAATTTAGGTAAACCATAGAATAAGTTTGGGTACCTCGTTTTAGAGACATGTTACTAAATTGAGGTAAAATGGACGACTTTTGTCTAATAATAATTTATAAACTCCAAAATTTCATACAGTAAAATATAAATTCAAAGAGGTCGGTGTACCAGGTTTTTTTAACCGCTCTAGTTTA